CAACCAAGGTACATGCCCTTGACCGGAATTGAACCCGGGACCCTTCAGTCCACAGGCTCTATCTACTGAGCCAGACCGGCTAGGGCTGTCCTCCTGTTTTTTAATTGTTTTTTCTTTTTGGTTCTCTAATTGAGTGATATTTTCAACTCTATCTTCTAATTCTCTGATTTGATCCTCAGCTTCCCCTAATCTGCTGTGTAATCCTTCCAATGTGTTCTTTATTTGTGTTATGTCATTCTTTATCTCAGACTGTTCTTTTTTCATAGTTACTATATCTTTTCATACTGTTGAGCATTTTTAACATCATTACTCTAAACTCTGTTTCAGATAAATTTCTTATCTCTGCTGGGAAGCCCAGCTTTGGGATTAGATCCCAGAGTTCTCAGTGGCACCCCCCAAGCTGAGCTACCTCCCCGGGACTTCAGTTGCGTCCGTGGGTGCCCGGCCAGCCCTTTCACACCTCCGCCCCTCCTACCAGTCTCTGTGCGGTCTCCACCTTCGGTGCTTAGGTATCAGGGTTCTCTGAGTTTTCCGTTGATTATTCAGGAAGCCTTTCCATGTTTCAGTTGTAATTCCAGCTCATTCCTGGGAGCATGTCCGTGCAGCATCCTCCTACTCTGCCGCCATTTTTAATCTTCCAGAAAAATTGACATCTTTCCAATTGGAAGCTTTTCCTAACCAGAATTATGTCTCTCTCTCGCTCTCTTTACCTTTTATATGTCCCTTGGAGATGTCTTAGAGTTTCATATATGCAAACCCTATTGCTTGATGCACATATATTTTATTGCTATTTTGAATGGGATTTTTTTTCTTCATTATTTTTTAACTGGTTAGTGCTGGTATGTAAGACAGGGATTGGGTTTATGAATTTATTTTGGAAGTGCTTCTCCTTGGAACTGTTAAAGCTGTACTCTCTTTTCAGCTTTCATTACTCTTTGGTTGATGCCCTGTGTGTTCTGATTCCTTCTGGCTCAGTATTGCTGTGGATTCTGCTTGGGGCTGTCTTTCTCTCAGGTCATTTCTGGGATGACACCCTGCCTGCCCTCGGGCTCTTGGCTCTTAGGCCCTGGGTCCCGGAGACTGGGAGGGGGCCCTCTCCTGGCCCTCCCCGGGCTCTGCATAGGACCTCTATCTAGACCAGTGATGGCGAACCTTTTGAGCTCGGCGTGTCAGCATTTTGAAAAACCCTAACTTAACTCTGGTGCCGTGTCACATATAGAAATTTTTTGATATTTGCAACCATAGTAAAACAAAGATGTATATTTTTGATATTTATTTTATATATTTAAATGCCATTTAACAAAGAAAAATCAACCCAAAAAATGAGGTGACACGCGTGTCATAGGTTCGCCATCGCTGATCCAGACACTTGGAGAGCTCTGGATGCGGCTTCCAGTTCACCTTTCCTTACCACGCTTCCTGGTCGGTTAGGTCTTGGCATGGAGCTGTGCCCACTGGATATTGGTTGGAATAGACTAAGTGAGTGAGTGATGTATTTGTCTCCTCCTGTCTAGACCTCCCAGCTCACTTCATTGGGAATGCTTTTGTACTGGGCAGAGTTCTTCACTTAGTTTCCAACTCCTCCTCTGTTGATTTTTTCCTAGTCAGTGCGTGTACATTTTGTGATACCTTCACCTGGCCTTATTGCATAGGGACTCGCACCAACCTTGTACGTTCCACATCACGGTTGTTGTGACAGTCATCTGCTGGTCCCATGCCACTGACCACTTCCTTGCTCGCCTGCAATCTTCTCTAACCTGCTGCGTCTGCTGACTGTGAGGCTCCTGCCTCCTTGCTGCCTCCTTGCTCCCCTCAGATTCAGGCTTCTTCCGGGGAAACCAAGTACGCCGGTGCCCTGGACTGTGCGAAGAAGGTGTACCAGGAGTCCGGGATCCGAGGCATCTACAAGGGGACTGTGCTCACCCTCATGCGCGGTAAGCCTCGAGGCCCTCCCCCTGAGGTCACCTTGAGGGGACCGCCTGAGGAGGACACCACATCAGCCTTGGCAGCACAGCACAGCTCCGACAAGGCTGGGACTGTGTGTCCTGGTTCTAGGCCGTCTCGCCTCTGGCCAACAGGGACTCATAGAAAGATGGGGGACCTTCCACCCTTCTGGGGGCTGCCCCTCGAGGGGAGGAGTCATGACAGTGACAGTTGGAGGGGAGTGGCATGTAGGTAGAAATTGTGGCTGGAGGGATGAGTGGGAAGAAAGGGTGACTTTGGAACAATTGGGCTCTCCCTGTTTTGTTTTTTTAATACATTTAAATATATATATATATTGTTATTGATTTCAGAGAGGAAGGGAGAGAGAGAGATAGAAACATCAATGATGAGAGAGAATCATTGATCGGCTGCCTCCTGCACGCCTCCTACTGGGGATCGAGCCTGCAACCAGGGCATGTGCCCTTGACCGGAATCAAACCTAGGACCCTGCAGTCCGCGGGCTGATGCTCTATCTACTGAGCCAAATCGGCTAGGGCTTTAATATATTTTTATTGATTTCAGAGAGGAAGGAGGAAAGAGAAAGGTCAATGATGAGAGAATCATTGATTGGCTGCCTCCTGCACGCTCCCTACTGGGGATTGAGCCCGCTTCCTGGGCATGTGTCCTTGAACCTGGGACCCTTCAGTTCGCAGGCCGATGCTCTAGCCACTGAGCCGAACAGGCTAGGGCTCTCCCTGGTTTTGAGAGGCAGTAGGAGAGGCAGAGATGGCCCCACCCTGGTCCTGAGCTGGTAGCTTGGAGGAAGGCCAGATGCGAGGTGCCATTCTAACTGCTTGGAGTGGGCATGTCAGTGGGGACCACGCAGAGGGACTTTGAACATGAGGTGACGTCATGTGTGTTTACACTCACTCCCCCGCACTTGCCCCAGAGCAGCATCTGGTCCCTACATGCGATCAGTGCGAGGAGGGGGTGCTTCCGAGGGACTTCCCAGGGAGCCTAAGGATGGGCGCTCGGCTCTGCTAAGTTCAGGAAACCCAGGGGGTTTACATCGTTTACCTCACACCTCTCTTGCCACTAACAGACGTTCCGGCCAGCGGGATGTATTTCATGACGTATGAGTGGCTGAAGAACATCTTAACTCCCGAGGGAAAGAGGTGAGGAGAGCAGAATAGCTCGGAGCCACTGTGCTCTGTGGTGGGGAGGCTGCCCTGCTGTGAGTGGGTCTGGACGCAGAAGTGGGACTTGCTCCTGGCTTCACCCCCTTTTCCTCCCATGGCTGCTGAGGCCCAGCGGACCCCTCTCTCACTCTGGGACTCACCCAACGGAGCAAGTCTTTGAAACAAGTGCCTGAAGCCTCCTCAAGGGGTGCGCTGCAGGTCCCGGGAGCCCTGGCCTTGGCCCTTCTCGCTCGGCCGGTTCCTCCCTCGCCGTCTGCGCAGGAGCGGGGTCAGCATGGCCCTCACAGCCTGTGTCTGACTCTGCTTGGTCCGCAGCGTCAGTGAGCTCAGCGTGCCTCGGATCCTGGCGGCTGGGGGCGTCGCTGGGATCTTCAACTGGGTGGTGGCAATCCCCCCGGATGTGCTGAAGTCCCGCTTCCAGACTGGTGAGTGGAGGGCAGAGGGGGGGGCGGGGGGGCCCTGGACCTGGCTGCCCCTGGGGTGCAGAGCCTTAGGCCTGAGGGTCCCTCACTCTCCGCAGCACCCCCAGCACCCATCTGACCAGCACGCTCCCTGGCAGGCACTTGTGTTCTAGAGCCCCAGGCTCCTTTTCTTGTCGGCTTGAACCCAAAGTAAGTGAGACAAGAAGTCGAATCAGCTCTCCTTCCCTCGACCCGAGCAGGAGGCCCGTGTCGGCACCAGTGCTCCAGGCGTTTGTGTCTGTCTGTCCCAAGGTGAATGTGTGGTCTGTGGACTCGTCTCAGACGACCTGCAAGGTGCCCGCCCCTGGCGCTGTGACCCTGCAGGAAGACCTGAGCGCAGGACTGTCCTCATGTGGTCACCATGTCAGGTCAGGAAGCTTCCTGAAGACTTAACAGTTGGGTTCTGCCCACAGCTCCTCCTGGAAAATACCCCAATGGCTTCCGAGACGTGCTGCGGGAGCTGGTCCGGAATGAAGGAGTCGCGTCCTTGTACAAAGGGTTCACGGCGGTGATGATCCGAGCCTTCCCGGCCAACGCGGTGAGTGGGCACGGGGCCGACTTGTGCTTGCTCCTGGGATTGGATTGGGGGCTCGGTTTTCCCAAAACCCACCCCCAGCCAGAGCCTTCTAATTCGCTCCCTTTCCTGAAGATGCTAGGGAGATTTGCCTTTGAGATGCTCTGAGGTGAGGGGCTTTGCTTCCCTGGCCTGGCCCCTGAGACCGTGCGCCTTAATGACAAGCGGGCAGCTGTGGCCATGCGATTTCTTCCCTCTTGGGAATGAGAAGGCACCTGGAGCCCCTGAGCTGGGTGGGAGGGGTAGGGAAGGCCTGGTCCTGACAGGGCCAGCCCAGTGGTGCTGGCGTCTGAACGGTCACATTCCCGCTCGCTCTTCTCCTCCAAACCCCCCTCAGGCCTGTTTCCTCGGCTTTGAAGTTGCCATGAAGTTCCTTAACTGGATCACCCCCAACTTGTGAGGCTGAAGGCTGCTCGAGGCTTCCGGATGCTGGGAACTTCCCGAAGAGGAGCGGTGGGCAGGACTAGGCGAAGGCCCAAACCGGCAGCAGGATGGGGAGGGGCTGAGGAGCTGATTGTAAATCCCGGAAAGTACCCAGGGAGGAGGTTGAATTTGTGCTTTAACTACTGGAGAATGGAGCCTGAGCAGGCCCCAGTGGCTGACACACTTTAGATTAAGCTGTGTGCCTTCTAGGAACACAAGAGCCAGCTGAACCACAAAGGATTTCGGGGGGGGGGGGGGGGGGGGGGGGGTGTCAGAGCTTTGTGCATGGACTCGCTGAGACCGCGTGCCTTAATGACACCCTCCGCCTGCTATAACGTGGTGTGCCGTTTTGAAACTTGAATTCACTCTTGTCAGTTTAAGGGATCTCAGGAGGGTTTTGAGGTGGGGTCAGTAGCTTCTAGACCAGATACCACCTGTGGCCAGAGTACTGTCCATGGGTGGGTTGACTGCTGGCCCTCCTGTACCCCAAATACTAGTCTCAAAAGGGGAAATCTCCGCCTTTCCCTGGAGGTACTATGCATGTTTACAGCCAGCTGCCCAGGAGCTGGTCTTCTTTGATCCCCAGCCAGGAACAGCCACCAGATGTCAGGGTGCCATCCCATCTGACATGCACAGGGGTGTGGACTTGAGACCCACGTCTGTCAGTTGAGTGGAATGAGCACGTGTGTAGGGCAGGTAGCCTGCCGACGGTGGGCCGTTTGTTTTGTAGGCATGCTAGTAGCCAAAGCGGAATGGAGTAGTCTCCTTCCTCAGGTAGAGAGCTTTCCCTCCTACACGGTGAGGAGTGTGGGGGTGCGGTCCCGGCCTGCTGGGATGAGAGGAAGCCCACAGTGTAGGAAGGCTCTCCTCGCACTCTTTTCCCATGAGAGCCCCCTATTTTAACAGGAAACAATAAAAGATTGTTTTTCACTTTTGCGTGGCGTGAGACTTTTCTCTTGGTTCTGGGTTGTTTCAGCAGCAGCCTATGCCTTGGCGGAGGCTGTAGGGCCCCAGCGTCCCTCCCTGGTTGCTTCAGGCTCCAGCAGGAGGACGAGGGGCAAGTTCTGGCCAGGCCCAGCCTTCCCTGACTGCTCCGGCCCCAGCTGCTAGAGGCAGGGGGTGGGCCTGGATTGGTAACTGTTCATCACCCTCAGTGCGAGCCTGGCGTGCAGGCCCCACAGGCCCAGCCTGCCGCTTCTCCGTCACTCCTGAGCCTCCGCTCGGCCACCCGGGTGTCTGAGCTAACGGACAGACAAGCAGTTCTCGAAGGCCAAAAGCAGTCCTGAGTTTTAATTTTTTTTTTTTAATTCTCACCCGAGGATATTTTTCCATTGATTTTTAGAGAGAGTGGAAGAGAGAAGAAAAGACAGAGAAACATCGACGTGAGAGAGAAACACATCGATTGGTTGCCCCAGCACGAGCCCTGACCAGGGCCTGGGCCGGGGAGGAGCCTGCAACCATGGCATGTGCCCTTGACAGGACTCGAACCAGAGACCCTTCGGTCCGCAGGCCCATGCTCTATCCACCGAGCCACACTGGCCGGGGCCCGTCCTGAGTGTTCCTGTGGCTCTGGGTTGCTGTGTGATCTGAAGTCACCAGCCTGGCCCAGGTGCTGCCCCGGAGGTGAGGGAGGCGGAGTAGAGTCACAGCTGGTCTGTCCCTGCCCGTGGAGGTGAGGCTGTGGGAGCCGGGCGGGCGTCTCTGGCAACGTCCCATCTGGCAGGCAGTCCGGTGGCACTGGCACTTCCCTTCTCGCTGCAGCTTCCCAGGGACCCTTGGACTTTGGCTTCAGAGCCGCCGGTCTGTGTAAATGGGTGAGTGGGCAGGGATCACACCCACCTGGCTGTGGGCGTGGCCTACCTGGCAGCAAGCTGAGGATTTGGGGGTTTAAGGAAGGAGGCTTTCTTCCTGGGAAGACAGTTTCTGGATGACCAGATAGGAATTATGTGGCGTCAAGTCAAAACAGCCTTTTTTTAGAGATGAAAATTGTGTGCCCTCTTCCTGGGAAGGTTAATTCAGTGTCAAGCCTGCCCCGCCCGCGCTGCAGGGTGTCTGTGCAACCGCTTCCCCCAAGCTCTCAGCCCACCCAGGGTTTTTTTGTTGTTGGTTTTTAATTTTATTTTTTAAAGGCTTTTTTAGCTTAGAGAAACATCCATCAGCTGCCTCCTGCACACCCCCTACTGGGGATGTGCCCACAACCAAGGTACATGCCCTTGACTGGAATCAAACCCGAGACCCTTCAGTCTGCAGGCCAACCCTCTATCCACTGAGCCAAATCGGTTAGGGCTATTTTTAAAAATATTTTTATTTATTTCAGAGAGGAAGGTGGGGAGAGAGAGAGAAAGAGAGAGAAACATTGATGATGAGAGAGAATCAGAGAGAGAGAGAGAGAAACATCAATGATGAGAGAGAATCATTGGTTGGCTGCCTCCTGCACACCTCACACTGGGGTCCAAGCCCACAAACCGGCCACGCGCCCCGACCAAGAATCGAACTGTGACCTGGTTCCTGGGTCGAAGCTGGACCCCTGAGCCTGGAGCCGGGCCCACCCAGGTTCTGAGAGAGCCCTGAGCCTGGGCTTTGGCTGGGAAGCCCCGGGAGTGCGTTTGCATTCCAGTGACATGCCAGCGTTCCCACGGCTCAGGATCACCCCGTGCTTCTGGGTCCTTTGCCCTTTGGAACAGCTGCTATTTTAAAACGGAATGTTTGGTTCCGTGATGTTAGCGGTGGTAGATTCTTGTTCTCGGAACAGCTGCTATTTTAAAACGGAATGTTTGGTTCCATGATGTTAGCGGTGGTAGATTGTTGTTCTCTGGGTCTCCCATAGCCGGTCAGTCAAATCAGGAAGCCCTGGAGGCGTGTTTGTGAAGGGAGCGGGCAGGTGGGGAGGCACTCCCTCCTGGAGGGCACTTCCTGTCTATGATGCACTTTGAAATGCCACCTGTTCTGATATTGCTCCTCTCCCCCCCCGCCCCCCACGGAGATGAGAGTGGGGGAGAGCTTGGGGCCCTCCACGGTGATTTCGGTGATTTCGCTGTCACAGAGCGCCTTAAGTAGAAGCCAGACAGTGTTTCTTAAAACAGCCAGCCGGGGACAGCGGCCTCACCCAGGCGCCAAGCCCAGTATAACTGGGTCAGAGGTGAAGGGCAGCGCAGGCTGTTGCGACAGCCCCTGTTAGAGCCACAGTGGCACCGTTTCTGCTGGAAGGTCACACCATCTCTGCCCACAGCTCTTTCCCACGGTTCTTGTTTGTTTTTTTTAAATGTATTTTTATTGATTTCAGAGAGGAAAAGAGATAAACATCAATGATGAGAGAGAATCATTGATCAGCTGTCTCCTGCACGCCCCACACTGGAGACGGAGCACACAACCCAGGCACGTGCCCTTGACCGGAATCGAATTAGGGACCCCTCAGTCCATAGGCTCTATCCACTGAGCCACACCAGCTAGGGCTCCCACAGTTCTTTTGAGGCTGGAACCCCCTCTGCCCTTCCTAACCTCTTCAGGGGTTCATTCTCATCTCTCTGTCCCCGTGTAACTCGGTGTTTAATGGGTGGGGATTTTTACCCCCCACTTTCAGATGTGGAAGGCAGAGCTCAGACGGGGTGAACTGGTCTGCCAAGAGCAAGTTGATAACAGAGTGAGGCTAACAGAGTGGTGTCTGGGTACCCACAGGCCTGAGGAGAGGCCTGGGATGCCAGCACAGGCTGCCCTGGGCTGCTTGGCCAGAGCTCCCAGCGGCCTGACTACGAGAAGGCTCAAAGCCCAGGCCACCGGCCAGTGAAGCGGGCGGGGCGGACACCGGAGTCCCACAGGCACGGGGAAGGCCCAGGGCCAGGTGCTCCCTGAGGGCTCCCTTTCTGCTTCCTCTGCCTGGTCGGCATGCAGGCCTGTGGCTCTCCAGCCGGACTCTCCCTTGCTTCCCAGGTTCTGTCCTCGCCCTGAGGTGTCTCAGAGGCAGACTCTGTCCACTGCAGAGACCGACACTTTCTTGGGACACTGTCCTCGGGGAGAGGGCAGCACACAGGCACAGTAATAGGTGACCCAGGAATTGACCGCTCCCTGGAGCAGGACACTAGTTAAAATAGACCCAACTTGCCCGGCCAACGTGGTTCAGTGGTTGAACGTCGGTCTATGAACCAGCAGGTCACGGTTCAATTCCCAATCAGGGCACATGCCTGGGTTACGGGCTCCATCCCTAGGAGGGGGCGTGCACAAGGCAGCCAATCCATGATTCTCTCTCATCATTGATCTTTCTATCTCTCTCTCTCCCTCTCCCTTCCTCTCTGAAATCAATAAAAAAAATATTTTAAAGAAAAACAAAAACAGGGGGCGGGATTGTGGACGCTGAATAGGGCAGAGGAAACAGCCCACTGCCCCAATCCCTCCTGCCCCCTGGGCTCACAGTGAACACTTCTAAGACAAAACAGAAACTGAGGGTGGTAGACACTGAATGATCTTGGAGGACTGGGCCGGGGGGCTGGCATACAGAGGTGGTCAGATGAGCAACAGGACCCAGGAGATGAGTGGAGGACCGGAGTGGCTGAGAGAAGTGGCCCCTTTGGACAGAGAACAAGGAGGTGTTCCTGCTGGGGCTGAGTCGTCCCTCCGCCCCCCACAAAAGGCAGAGAGCACTGGAGGACAGAAGGGGTGTGGACTGGGGGGTCTGGGCCAAAGCAGGCCTCCGTAGGTGTCGGGGGGAGTTTGGGCATCTCTTCTTCCTGGAAAGAAAGAAAAAACATTTTATTTTATTTTTTTAAAATATATTTTTATTGATTTCAGAGAGGTAGAAACATCAATGATGAGAGAATCATTGGTCAGCTGCCTCCTGCACGCCCCCTACTGGGGATGGAGCCCATAACCCGGGCATGTGCCCTTGACCAGAATCGAACCTGGGACCCTTCAGTCTGCAGGCCAATGCTTTAACCACCGAGCCAAACCGGCTAGGGCAAGAAAAAACATTTTAAACAATAAGCCTATCAAGAGTCCATGAAACTCACTGTTTCGTTGGAAACAGCAGTTGGTGCCCTAACCATGCTCATCTTCC